ACACACAGTGCTGTTAGAGCCCATGGCCCTTACTGAATACTAATCAGGCTTTTGTTTATTTTTCAGAATAATCTGATGCTAAGTAAATGCTTCAAAAGTTGTGGCTGTTGTTCTGGACTAGTAAAGGTGTAGGCATCTAAGCCATTATCCAGCCTTTTCTCTTCAGCTACTGACGGAATATTTTGGTTTTCCAGAGGAATTCCTGATGTATTTTCTAATCCTTAATGTTTGCTGCATTTTCTGTATTTGTTGCTTTGGAATCATTGTTTTTAGACACAGTTGGTGACCTTGTCATCTGTGTGACACATTCCCAGCGCTCAGGCACATTTTAATCACTAGGCCTGAAAGAGACAGCAATGATTTGCTGCATTTACATACCACCTATAATGTAGTAAATCATCTCCAAAGTGTTTTATAGAGGCATAAATTAGACAAGATTTGGCATCAAGTCACATAAAGCAATATTAGGGCTAGAGTAGAAAAGATGTATTGAAGAGGTCTATTTCAATAAGTATCTCAGGAGAGACAGAGGATGATTGGATAGGTTCAGGGAGGGATTTAAAGAGCTTGGAGCCTAAGCAACTGAAAGCATGGCCATCAATGACAGAGAAGTTAAAATTGGAGCAATGCAGACATATCGGACGGTTGTGAGGCTGAAGGAGTGATTGGCGGAGGGGTGGGGTGCAGCTGGGTGAGGCCAAGGATGGATTTGGTAACGAGGCTGAAGTTGTTGAAGTCAGTGTGAAGGGTCTCTGTAGAAGATGAGGTGCTACTCCTGCAGCGTGCATTGGACTGAAACCTTGTAACAGGCCCAGGGCAAGAATCTGAGTCTGAGAGCTCTCGCTGTCCTTTTAGGGATAATAGCAGGGTCTGACCAGATTTGATGCCTACCAGTGCCAACTATCCTGCTGGTGCTAATGACCTGGTTTTGGTGTTTGAAAGGGGCCCAGAATGAGGCAGCACCTTAAGTAGCATCAGAACTAAGAACAAAAGGAATGAACCCACCCTTTCCTGCCCACCCAGGGGAGAGAGGGGGTGGGGAAAGGTCAGGGAAAGAGAAACCAAAGATTAAAATAAAAGAAAGGTTAAAGAAGCCAGACTGAGTAGGAGCTCAGGGGCTGGGTCCTTTCCAGAAAACATTGATGGATTTCCCTGAAGTCTCACAGGAAATTCTAGAAACAAACAAACAGCCAGACTGTGCTGCAGCTCCTGTTGATGGGAGCTGGCCACAAAGGACAGAGTAAATGTGAAAAATATAAGGGAGAGGCTGCAGAAACATAAACACACGCAGGCAGAGGCAAAAAAGCACGGAAAGAGACAACAGCACCAGAGGGGAGAGAGGTAGACGTGCACTCTCACACACAGAAAGACATACAGATGTGTACAGGCGTACGTAGACAGCTGATCAAACACACACACACACAAACAATGAGGGGGTCTTCAATATGGACTCATAGGCAAAATGCACAAAATTGAAACCCAAAGGGGTACACAAAAGCTTAGGACATATATAGCTACCAATTGTCAAAGACATCTAAGCACGCACACACACGCAGCTACACACATGTCCCACACCTCAACTGGAGGCGGTGGCCTAGTGGTATCGTCACTAGACTATTAATCCAGACACTTAGGTAATGCTCTGGGGACCTGGGTTTGAATCCTGCTGTGGTAGATGGTGGAATTTGAATGTAATAAAAGAAAATCTGAATGAAGGCAACAGTTGTGATTTTTTTGTAATGCCCTTTAGGGAAGGAAACTGCCTAGGCCCGAAACGTCAGCCTCTCTGCTTCTATGATGCTGCTTGGCCTGCTGTGTTCATCCAGCCCTGCACCTTGTTGTCTCGGATTCTCCAGCATCTGCAGTTCCTACTATCTCTGCCGTCCTTACCTGGTCTGGTCTACTCCAGACCTATAGTGATGTAATTGACTCTTAACTGTCCTCGGGGTATTGAATGCTGGCCTGGCCAAGCATTAACTCTGTTTCTCTCTCTACATATGCTATTAGACCTGCTGAGTTTCAGCAGCACACTCTGATCTGATTTCAGCAGCCAAGCATCTGCTGGCCTTTGTTAAATGTGAATGTTGTCCCATTATAGCCTGACACCCACTTTCTCCAGTCAACTGATCAGAATGGACCTTCTTTTTAACTCCTTCCTTCTACAGGGAAGGGGAAGTTTGAGAGGTGGCCAGGTCCAGGCACTTGCTATGCCAGCTCACTTCCTCTGTCAGGAACATAACGCGTGCCTTTCTCATATCAACAAACGGCCCCCCTGCCTCCCACAGACTGGGCTTCAGTGCACACCAACACTGGGACAGGGAAGTTATTCCGGAATAAAATCCTCTTTCACAGGCTCAGAGGGCCCACCAGATCCCCAGCTTCCTTCACGTTACACTGTGACGGATTCTCTCTCTCCAGGATCATTATGTTTTCTGTGTCTCCTAATTTCTGTTTTTCTACCACTGCGTTTGTTACTTTTTGCTTTTGAGTGTGTGCATTTCTCTAGTTCTTAATGGACTCCTGTGCATTTGTCGTTTTCTGGTTGGTCCGTGACAGTCTCTATTCCTCTCTCTCTCTCTGTCCCTTTCTCTTTCTCTGCTTTATTTGGTCTTAACAGCAAACCGAGGGTGAAGTGGGATAGTCCAAAGCTGGTTTGATAAAGGAGCCATGGGCCAGAGACAGGAAACTCGCCACTTCCTTTAGCGGGAGCGGTGGGGTTTAACTTAGCCGCAGTGAAACAGACGCCTGCAGCTTCAAAACAGAATGCCTGCACTTTGAAGAAAACAAAACTCGACACAGGCGGAGGTGAAATTACCCGAGAGAAACCCGAGGGGCAACGTGGAGCAGAGATCCCCCCCCGCCAAAACCCAACTGAAGGTGAACTTCATGTTTATTCAGTAGTGAGGGGGATCCAGTAGCTGTGAAGTGGAGTCGGTGATGTTGAACTGGTAAGAGCACATTAAAGTGAATTCTTTCCTCAAGGTAACGATGTTGTTGAAAGTTAAGGATTCCTCAGGAAGCACCTTGTGTTGGGTGCATTGAAATGAACGGGTAACAGATTCCCTTTTGGTTATATTCAGCAAACTTTCTGTAACATTTCCAATGAATTAATTACTAATGTTTCAGGGGAAGGCTCCCACTTTCGCTCCCAGGGACCAGATGTGAATCATATTCCCAGTTTCTGCAGGGTTTGCATGGCCGGAATAGTTCATCATGTTCCCCCCATCTTGTCCTTTATTGAAACTCACAGCTAAGATGTGACACCCAATGCAGTCTGTGTTGAGTTGTGTAGACTCCAATATTTGACAGTGGAAGAATGGGACTGGAGTTGCCACTTCTGTGCAAGGTTCAGTAACCAGTTACCTTGAGCCTATGGGTTGCCAGTGCCTCCTGGCAGAGCGGGTCATTGTCTAGCATGGCTGGATCATTATTGACCACAGGCTCTGGATAACGTTGCTCTGTCCAGTAGCCTAATGGATTGGTTCATTCTGGCTGGATAGGTGGCAGGTGCACTTGGCTTCAGGGTTAATCCTATTATTGGTGCACTGTAAGACATGCCATCCGTCAGTCAGACATTAAACTGAGGCTCAAGGGGGAAACTCTTCATGTCACTTCTCAAGAAGCAAGACACTTTGTGGAACCCTTTTGCTGTTGACCCTAAGCTTCTGCTTGCTTGCCATTTCAATGCACTTTGCTGTCACACTCCCATCTCTGTCCTCACCCTGCTGCAGTGAAGCACAACATAAGTGGGATCAGCACCTCCTTGTCTGCTCAGACATTTGGATGTAACATTGCTCTTAACAACATCAGATAATGAACTCTGTCCCCCCCAGTTTGATTTCTTTTCATAGAATCTCTGTAGTGTGGAAACATGCCATTTGGCCCATCAAATCAACACTAACCCTCTGAACAGCATCCTGCCTAGACCATCACCCCCAACCTTATCCCTGTAGCCCTGCATTTCCCATGGCCAGCCCACCTAACCTGCACATCTTTGGACTGTGGGAGGAAACCGGAGCACCCAGAGGAAACCCACGCAGACACGGGGAGAATGTGCAAACTTCACACAGACAGCCACCCGAGGCTGGAATTGAACCCAGGTCCCTAGAGCTGTGAGGCAGCAGTGCTAACCACTGAGGCACCGTGCCAAATGCCAGTCTGTGTCATGTCTTTCTGATTTGTTTCTATGCAGAGCTCTCTTCATTCTGTCATTAACACCAACTCTAGCAAATCTTTTATTTCTTTCCAACAACCTTGACCATTTGAGCTTTGTGTGGCGATATCCCTGTTATTTCATTTCACCCACCCTCTACCCATAACCCAGACCTCACACTCTGTGCTCGCTCCCCCTCCATCTTTATATGAACAAGGCATAAACTATTCAGCCCCTCAAGTTTGCTTTGCCGTTCCATAAGGTAGTAGCTGGCCTGATCGTAACCTCAAATCCACATTTCTAATACCTACCGCACCCCCCACCCCCACCCCACTTATCTGTGCCGTAACAATTTTCAATATCCACTGCCTTTCCAGAGAGTTCCAAAGACTCATGACCCTCTTTCAGAAAGAGATTTTCCTCACCCTCATATATTAAATGGGTGGCCCTTGATTTTCAAACAGTAACACCAGTTCAAGATACCCTAACAAGAGAAAACGTCCTCTCCACATCTACCCTGTCAAGACCAATTGGGATCTTATACATTTTAATCAAGTTGCCATTTACTCTTAGACCCTCTGGCAGATACAAGCCTAACCTGTCCAACCTTTCCTTTCCACCCGTTCCAGGCATCCTCCGACAATGCAGCACTCCCTCAGTGCTAGAATGGAGTGTCAGCTTAAACCTGTGTTCAGACCCTGATGTGCCATTTGAGCCAAGAATGCCATGACTCTGAGGGGAGTTTGTGGGCAGCAAATTTTTGTCTCCGTCCTACAGCATACAGTTAGATATTTGCAAACAGTTACAGCTGACCAACTCACTCTACTGGGGAAGGAAGAATGTAACTATAACAGAATGGCTGTGCATTACTCTCTCTGCAAGTGAAACTGACGATTATGGCTCGTGCTCCCAGAGCTACCGGTAACCAGGGAGCTGACTGAATTTGTGAAAATATCAGTTTTGGATTGAGTGCTTGCAGTGACGTTAAAGATGAGCAATCTTCACAGTGGGATCCCATCAGGGTTTGGATCCAACAGCAGCGGACAACCTCGTCCATTATTGGCAGAAACTGCTACCCAGGCGATTCTCTATCTGCTCATCCTAATCATTGGCCTTCCATTGAACATCCTGGTCCTGCTGTTGGTCTACAAGTGTAGATCTTTGAGGAGCATCGCCAATATATTTGTGGCCTCCCTGGCCCTAGCTGATTTTTTAATTGCTCTTTTAGGCCTGCCTATCATCATCATAGCAACCATTGCCCAGAGTTGGCCCTTTGGTGGGACGTTTTGCCAAATCTCGGGCTTCCTAACCTTCTCACTGAGGAACATCTCCATCCTGTCAGTGGCTGGCATCGCTGTGGACAGATATTACGTCATTGCGAGGCCCTTTATACTGACCATAACCAGGGACAGAGCTCTGAAGATGATTGTCTTCCTGTGGTGGAGTGGGCTGCTCTGTGGAATCCCACCACTCTTTGGCCTTGGGCTTTACAAGTTTTCTCCCACAAGGTGTTTGTGTGACTACAGCTGGCCTGATGGAGGTTCCAGTCTGGCGTATGGGATCTACCTCTTTATTTGGATCTACCTGACCTCTTTGCTAATAATCGCCGTTTCCTATTACTTCATCTACCAGGTCACCCGTGAGCACGTGAAGTATAAAGCACAGCGTTTCGCCAATAACCTGTCTCCCGGGCCAGAAGACAGCTCAATTCCCAGTGAACTGAAGTCCTTCAGACTGCTGCAGGCCAGTCTTTCAAGAAAATGGGCGAGTTTCATGTCTTCCAATTCGGCTTTTAATTTGAATGCCAGCAGCCCTTCTGACGTAGCAATGGAGTCTAAGACAGCGAAAACCATCATTGCTGTGATAATAACCTGCCTTATTACCTGGCTTCCCTACTTCATTCTGAACTTCTGTTGCAGCTCTCTGTCCGACAGTAAGCCTCCCAGAATGCTGGACTTCCTAGCCACTTGGCTGACCTTTGTGAACTGTGTTCTGAACCCCGTCCTCTACGCTCTCCTGAACCGCCAGTTCAGGCACTGTCTCGGGGAGAACATGCGCCTCTGGTTTCGACCCTTTGCTCAGCAAGCTTCAGAAGATGCCCCAAGGTCGGCTGGCACCACCCACAATGGGGGCATCACCAGAAGCCGGGCTAATGTTGGCGATTGCTCAGCTCCCATCTCCACCATTCGAGGTACCACTATCCCTGTTTGATTCTGAGTGTGGGGCTGGAGACTAGTTGCACATTTCTGGCAGATATGAGCAAGAACCTGAAATCGATAAAGCAGCGCGTGACTGGTTTATTCTGTGTAAGATACATCTGGATTTAAAGGGAGGGTGGTGACTTAGGTGAAGGGATTAGTGAGCCATTGGCTTCCTGACAGAATCACTGAATTGTACAGTGTAGGAGGAGGCCATTCAGCCCACTGGATCTGAACCTGCTCTGCAAATGAGGGGGTCGCTTTGTGCGATTTCTCCCCCCCAGTGTAAGCACACAATCCTGCAGATTTTCTTCCTTCGCAAATATCTTGTTGTGTTCCCTTTTGAAAGTCTCGATTGACCCTACCTTCTTCATCCTCATCGGAAGTGCTTTCCAGCCACAACTGCTCGCTGCCTCCTATTCCTAAAGAGGGCATCTAGACAAACCCCCATCCAGACAATTCCCACAAGTGGCGAGCTGAGCTTTGGCTTGCAATTAAGGATTGGCATCCAATGGGATAGTTGTCCCTGCTAGATTTGGAGAACTTCTCCAAATTGGAATAACCTCTTCCCAATGTCTCCATCAGTTGGTAGAAGAGCAGACATTGGAGAAGACTTTGTGATAAGATCTGTAGAACTCTTGTGGGTCAGACCAAACCCCCTCAAAATCTATTCAGAAAATAGTCTAGAACCTAAATCTTTCTTTTTTTTTTAAAAGGTAAGTGTAGGGTGTTGTGTTCCAGATGCAGTTCGATTGGTCAATCTACTTGACATTAAGCGAAATACGCTTTATTCGTACACTATAGTTTAGATAACTTAGCACTACTGGAAATCTTAACAGAATAATAGATTATTTTACTTCTAAACAGTGACCGTTCCAATATAGTAACATCCCATAAACACATCCTAGATAAAGGCAAGTTCTGAAAAATAGATTGTCTGACAGGCAATTCTGCAATCCAGGACAATAAATCATTAAGAGAAAACTCTGAGAGGGAGAGAGTAGCAGGGAAGGATGTACTGCAGATTCCAAACCCAGCTTCAAGACCCCAGCAACTGCTACTGAAAAACTAAAACTAAAAACCCTGGTTCTGTGGGAGCTTGCCCCACATATTCAGCTGCCTCTGTTGTTCCAATTTAACAATAAACCCCAAGGCCTAACAAGCTGTTTACTTTATGTGCTTTCAATAGAAAGTTCTAAACCTCTGACTTAAAACCTCTCTTCAAAAAAGCAGACCAGAAAACAACTCTTAAAGCAACAGTATTGTTACATCTCCCCCTTTAAAAAAATGAACCATCAATATGCAAAGATAGCTTTATTTTTAAAAACCCTTGGTCTTACTGTATTAAGCACGTTACAATACATTTACATTACGTTGACTCTAAGCATGCAAACATTCAGTACGGCAGTCCATTTCAGTCCACGTTTTCCTGCCACTGAATGCCTCTGTCTTTCTTCATCCAAGTTGTGACAATGGATCAGCAATTACATTCTCTCTTCCTGCCAGGTGTACAATATTCAAATTGAATGGCTACAATAATAAGCTTCATCTAAACAGTCTGGAAAATTTATCCTTATATTTTCCCAAAACTTTAATGCATTACGATTAGTATATACAAATGTCTCAGACACGTTCCTGGCAATGTAAATGCTGAAATGTTACAATGTTAACACCAAGCTCAAGGTCTCTTACTCAATTGTGGACTATTTCTGTTGATGATTATTCAATTTTCTGGAAAAATGCACAATAGATCTTTCTACCTTCTGGTCACCTTCTTGCAAGTGTACAGCACTGACACCCACATCTCTTGCATCGATAGCCACTTTTAATGATTTTGCGAATTAAGTGTGGCTAACACTGGGGCAGTGGTTAACACAGCTTTCAGCCTGTCAAGTGCCTTCTGACATTTCACCATCTACTGAAATGTTCCGCACTTCTTCAACAAGTCAGTCAGTGGAACAATTACACTGCTAAAATCCGGTATGAACTTCCAATAAAAACCACTCAATCCCAGGCATTGTAGTACTTCCCTCTTCATCGATGGTATGGGAAAGTCACAAAACTCATTGGTCTTTTGTCCAATGACGTGGCTCAGGAATGTGACTTGGGCTTTTGCGAGCTCACCCATAGCCAGGTTTATCACTGAGCTTGCCACCCAGAGTTGATCTAATAGATGCTCCGAATGTTCCTACCATGTGTGACTAAACAATCACCAGGTCATTGATGTCACCACACAATTGAGTAATCCCAAAATGACTTTATTGATTAGTCTTTGAAATGTGCCTGGTGCATTTTTCATACCAAATGGTATGACTTTAAAGTGGTACAGTCTATTTCACGTCACAGAAACCAAAACTTCTTTCAGATAAATGTACCTGCCAATATCCTTTGAGTAAGTCCAACTTTGAAATACAAGTTGCTTGTTCCACCTTCTCAATAAAGTCTTCCAAATATGGAATAAGGTATGAATGAGCTTTTGTAACTGCATTTACTTTGCGATAGTCCACACATAATTGTTGGGTATCACTTGGTTTTGGCACCATTACTATGGGTGAGCTCCATTCTCTACAACTTACTTCAATTATATTATCTTTGAGCGTGCGTTCCATCTCTTTTTGAGCCTAAGCCAGCTTTGGAGGTTAAGTCTATAAGAATATTGTTTAATTGGAATGTTTCCTGTCTCTACAACATGCATCATTAGATTAATACTTCCTAGCTTATTCCACCATAACTCCCCATGAGATAGTAATAAGTCTTTCAGGTCATTTCGGTTTTCCTCTGGAAGGTAACTCAATAATTTTTTCCAATTTTTGAGAACTTCCTCATTGTCAATTTAATTTGAGGAATGTCCAGTACAGAATCCTTTGAACTTGGTTCTTCACTTTGTGTTGAAACCAGTAACACGTTCTCCTTTTGCTTTCCTTCCCTATCAAAATATCTTTAGAGCATATTCACTTGACACACTCTGTGAGATTTCTTTCTATGTGGCGTGCTTATCAAATAATTCACCTCAATCAATCTCCTTTCGATTTGATAAGGTCCACTAAACCTTGCTTTTAAAGATTCACCTACCACTGGAAGTAACATTAACACTTTAACTCCATTAGAAAAATTGTGAATTTTTGATTTATTGTATGCATCCTGTTTTATCACATGCTGTGCTACTTTCAAATGCTGTCTATCCAACTCACCCACTCTATTCAATCTTTCCCTAAAATTTGACACATAATCCAAATATATGGTCTCTGAACTCTGACTCACCAATTTCTACCTAATTAATTTCATATTAACATCATGTCCAAAAACTAATTCAAATGAACTGAATTTGGTAGATTCATTTGGTGCATCCCTAATTGCAAAAAGTACAAATGGGAGTCTTATATCCTAATCGTCTGGATAGTCTTGACTATGGGCTCTCAACATGGTATTTAAAGTTTTATTACCACTGTTCTAATGCTCCCTGTAATTCAGAATGGTACGCAGTGGATTTGAATATTTTTATTCCTAAACTGTCCATAACTTCCTTCAATAACTTTGATGTAAAACTTGACCCTTGATCTTATTGTATCTCTGTGGGTAGTCTGTATCTCATTAAAATAATTGAGTAACTCTTCTACAATCCTTTTAGCCATGATACTGTGTAGACACATTCATTATGGTCAATAAATACTGATCCCCACTTTTTGTTTTAGGTAGGGATCCTATGCAATCAATTAAAACTCGTGTAAAAGGTCCCTCAGATGTGAAAATGGGTATTAAAGGTGGTGGTTTTATCACTGCCTGAGATTTTCCAATTACCCAACGCATATGACATGTCTGGCAAAATTCAACAACATCCTTATGCAGTCCAGGCCAATAAAAATGTTTTTGCATTTTGGCTTGAGTTTTCCTTACTCCCAAATGACCTCCTACAGGTAATTCATGTACTACTCACAACACTTCCTTTCTATAACCCACTGGTAATACTATTTGATGAACTTCTGCCTATTTCTCGTTCACCTGAATATGTGATTGTCTCCATTTCCTTATCAAGATGTCAATTTTAAGATAGCAACATTCTGAGATACACTCAGATTCTTCTTCTGTGTATGCTTTTTGATACAACTGCGTTAGTTTTTCATCTTCCCATTGTAACTCAGTTAATTTCTCTGAACTGAAAATATCCACTTTGTCCTCTACCTGTTCTTGTGTTTTCTCAACAATTTGATCAACCATGGTCTCTGATAATTCTACTCCAATTTCCTTACCTTTATTCTTTGGTTTCTTCTCCTGTTTCCACCTGTGGCTTTGTGACCTTGTTACCATACAGTCAGGGAAAATCCCAGGATATACCTCTTGTACCACCTCAGTTGCCTGATTTCCCACTGGCTTTTCAACCACAGTAGGCATCGCTCCTGCCTGTGACCAAGCTATATCATTACCGAGCATAATCTGTATGCCTGGAACCGAGAATTTCTCTTTTACTCCTATCACCACTTCACCACTTTTCACCAGACTCTCCAACCTCACTTTATACAATGGAGCACTGCTCTAATCACCAGGAATTCCACATAGTACCATCTTTTCTGGCAATTCTTCTTGTGAATTACATATCTCTTGATCTTTCACCATTAAGGATTGACTTCGTCCTGTATCTCTTAAAATTTTAATTTCTTTACCTGCTCCCCCTCGCATGCATGAGTAAACCTTAAATTCACAAGTAAATTCTTTAAAGAGATCTGGCAGTTTTCTTTCAACTAACCTCTCAACAGATTGAATATTCTTTTGAGCTTTTTAGCTTCCACTGTGCTTTCCTTTACCACTTCAACAAAACTCACTGACTTATCCTGTTTTCCCACATCTGTCTTCCCAGTGCTTTTTCTAAACCACCAACACTGCCACTTCATGTGACCTATTTTATTACAGGGAAAACACCTGAGCTTTCTTACTTCTCCTTCCCCCTCACGGGTTTCCTTCTTACCCTGTGGTAAACTATCTTTACTATCTTCAATGAGATGTCCTCTTCCCTTACCACCTGAGGATTTCTCTTTTCCCCAATTTCTATCCCTCATAGACTGAAATTGATGTCAGAAGGTAAACTTTGATTAACAAACCAACTCAAAATCATCTGCCATTTCAGCTGCTAATCTTGTTCTCTTAACTTTCTGCTCCTCCACATGAGTTCCCACAGCCTCAGGTAGTGAATTTTTGAACTCCTCCAAAATAATCGTCTCTCTGACTGTCACATGTTTCATCTGTTTTCAGTGCCCTCATCCACTTATCAAAATGACTTTGTTTGATCCTTTCAAACTCTATGTACGTTTACCAGGTTCCCTCCTTAGATTTCTAAAACGTTGTCTGTAGGCTTTTGGTACCAGCTCATATGCACCCAAGAGGGCATTTTTCACGTCATTATACTCCCTAGATGCCGCCTCTGACAGTGATGCAAATACTTCACTAGCTCTATCTACCAACTTTGTTTGGATCAACAAAACCCACATGGTCACCCGCCATTTCATTTCTTTAGCCACTTTCTCAAATGATACGAAAAAGGCTTTCTACATCCTTCTCATTGAACTTAAGCAATGTTTGGTCATATTTAAACAGATTCCCACCTACGATGGGATTGCTCTCTGTCACTGTCCTCGAGCCAACTCTTACTTTCATCTCTACCTTCGACATTTTAAGTCGACTTTGAGTTTTCAACCTCTGAAGTACAAAAAACTTTCTCTTTCTCCCTTTCTTCTCTCGCTTTCTTCTTCTTAGACCGTCGTTTCCTTTACTTTCTCCTCTGCTTTAATCATAAATCAAACGGTTTCATTTCCTTTTCGTGTTCAAGCTGCTTCATTTTCTGTTGAATTCTAGCAATTTCCAAAGATTCTGATGGCATTCCTGGCAACTGTAAATGCTGCGTGATTATCTCTTCCTTCTTCACAGACACAGACAACTCCAACTCCAGCCTGTTTGCCAATTCCAAAAGCTTTGCCTTATTCATTTTCTGTAAAACTCCTGACGTGACTTCTTCCACCCCCAGGAAACTCTTAGTGACTGAAAGAGCCATTACCACGTAAGGCACACCCTCTTTAAACCAAGTGAATTCAACATCTGAAATAAAAAAACTTTACCTCCCACCACTCACTTCCTTCGAGCCCAACAATCCTAAACCCAACCTGAAATTAGAGATTTCGATTCCGACAAGAGCCCCCAGTCATTTATGGACCAGACCAAACCCCCTCAAAATATATTCAGAAGATAGCCTAGACACTAACTTTTTCTTATTTTAAAGATTAGTGTAAGGTATTGTGTTCCGGATGCAGTTTGATTGGTCAATCTACTCAACATTAAGCAAAACACACTTTATTCATACACTATAGTTAAAATACAACAAAAGAAAGAATCAATTGGAATAACTTAACTTTGGTGTAAGACAGGTGTAAGAGCTGAACAGAGAAGTAATAAGAGAAAATGAGAGTTAGAAAGTGGAGGAAAAAATACCAGCAGAGACACAGGGAGAGAAATGGAGAGATAGTTACAGGGAGAGAGAGAGTGAACAGTGACACAGCAGATTAACAAGTTACAACATAAGAATAGGCTGGAATCCGGTTTACTTGTTTCAAAGAGATTGGAGAGCAGGAGCTGATGCAGGTTATTTGTTGTCTTATTTTCTTGTTGTAGATTTGCCGAGGCCAGCATCCCGAGCATTCCCTGTGGATTCCTCACTCTTCAGGAACCCTCTGGTGAGGTCACGATCAGCATCCTTTCAGCAGAGAGCTGTTCCTGCTCAGAGACATCGAAGTCATGCAGCAGTGGGAAACTGAGCCCTGTAACAAACTGACCCTGGCAATGCTCAGTGAGCCCTGGCAACGTTCAGTGAGCCCTCATAATGATCAGTCATCTCCGGAAATGGACAGTGACTTCTCCTCTTCCCAGTGGCAAATATCATTGACCAATGGCCAGTGACCACCCAGCAATGGGCCGTGATCACTAATAATGGGCATTGATCACTAATAATGGGCTTTGATTGCCAACAATAGGCATTGAACGCCAACAATAGGCATTGATCACCAGCAATACACAGTGATCCACAGGAATGGGCAGTGTGCATCCACTCCTGGTTTTCTGATATTGAAGCATATGTGGATCATTTTAAATGACAGGTAACAGGAGATCATCTGCGTGTGAAAATAGGGCAAGACTTTGTCCATCAGGGCAGGTGCAGAACAGAAAGTGTTTCAGAATTGCCTAGGATTAGATCCAAGGAGGATTTAGCTTCAGATTGTCTACTGATGGATCTGACCTGTCTCCCAGTGGTTGCAGTTAGGACACTATTTCTACTTTTATAGTTGAATCCTCCTGAAAGAAAAACATTGGCAGCGCAAGGCTTGGTGTTCCCCCAGTTCAACAGATTCACCTGGCAGACATGAGACCCAATATCAGGGATCGACGAGCAGCAGCTGCAAAAGAAATAGCCCCTCAGGCTAGAGCCTGTGAATTATCAAATGAAAATGCTTAGCCTATAACAACCAGTTGTTGCTAAATTAAACTCTGACACTTCCTAATTTACTAAAAGTGTTCTTAAAATTCCCGCAGATTGTTGGGAATGTGAATGAGGGGTTCTGTGTGTCATTGGAACCTAGAGCTGCAGTCCCAGAACTGATGAGAAATGGAATAAATGATAATCAGGCTCAAACTCTGAAGCCAGGATTGTGTTGTTAAATGGGTTTTATGTTGGAAATCTGTTCACCCTTCATTCTTTGAAGCCCAGCTGGAGGCTGGTTTTTTTTTTTCCTTTTGGCTGCGTGATTTCTCGTTGTTGAGAATTTGTTGAGATTAAGATTCAGGTACTTTTTCTGCAGGAAGGATAAGCCTCCAGGGGCTTGCAGTGTTCAGGTGACTCAGTCTTGATGCCAAATGTTGACAAACTGACATGTTATGGGAGGCATCACCTTCTCTCACTGATGTGCAGAGCCACATTAGTGCAGACACAGTTAGCACAGTGTGTTTGGAAGCTATTTTATTCTTCTATAATCAAACATATTGTTGGACAGGCGTCAGTGTCTGTGATTCTCCCACGCAGTGATAGGTCACAGCATGATAGGGAAAGGTATAACGACCATATTTTACTACAAGATGCACTATCACTTGATGAGGTTGACAAAGAGATTGCAAGCAGCAGCACTTTTTAGTTCACATGGTCAGGAAGTTTATTTATCTGCTGTGTAGGTGCAAGGATTTCCAGATTTAGGACATGTTTTGTGCGATATCAGTCTCAATGGTGATTACAGGTGATTTAGCGCCAGCTCTGAGCTATTGGTGCCGGAATTTTGATATCCTGCCCGCGCTGGAGTCTCTTCTCGCACTCAACTAAATAGTTGACTCCATCGACCACCAACTGAACCAGCTCCACCTGGAGAAGGAAATTCAACATTCCAGTTTCATCTTTTATATTTGAACAAGGGGCACTCACAACAGTTTGACTATTTTGCTGGAAATAAAACTCTCCCCACTTCCCTGCCTTATCTCCTCACCTCCTCCCTCAATTTCTAACCTGCTTTTTTCCCTCCTGCCACACAACCCATTTCCACAAAGAAGCCCCTCACTTACCTCACCCCTCCCTGTCCTTCCCCACATCAGTCATTCTGAACCTGCACTAATCCCCTCCTGCTCTGACCCAACCCACTCATCTAAAGAAACCCATCCCTTTTCCTTCCTCTGACCCAACCCACTCGTCTAAAGAATCCCATCCTTTTCCCTTCCTCTGACCTAACCCACTGCCTAAAGAATCCCATCCCCTTTCCCCTTCCTTTCCCACAAACTCTCTAAAATATGGATTGTTCTCCAGCAGCCTGAACTTGCAAAAAAATGAAAAATGTCTCCTGTTACATCAGAGATAGTAAGAACTGCCGATGCTGGAGTCAGAGATAACGCAGTGTGGAGCTGGATGAACACAGCCCCATTTCTGAAGAAGGGTCCCAACCCGAAACGTCAGCTTTCCTGCTCCTCTGATGCTGCCTGGCCTGCTGTGTTCCTCCGGCTCCACACTGTGTTATCTCTTATTCCTGTTACATCAGGTTTCGTACTTGGATAGCGAATGTTGAACAGTCCCAAATGTGCCAATAGCTCAGTTCACAATCAATTTCTGTCTTTGAGCAAGTTTGTAATATTGCTCATTTAGATTTGCTTGAAGTCAAATTCACTCTCTGCAAACAAAACAAATACGTGCAAACCTTCTACCTTTTTGCGAATTACCCAGGTGCCTAGGGTCTCTATAATTCTCCATTGTTTTCTGCCTTACAATGCCGCAGCCAATCAGAAATAACTTGCCAATCCATTGGCACCATTTTCTCCTGAAAAGCTTCGACCCCACGTGTCTATTCAGCAAACCTCTCTCATCCATTCCCTTCCCTACCTCACCCCTCTGGCCTGCCCTCTCTCCCTGTCACACGGGGACGTTGCTGGGTAAGGACAGTAACTCGCCTCAGATTTCCCCAGACGGTCCAGGTTCGAGATGTCGAACACACTGCCCACAGCCGCAGTGTCCACGCCCCCTGTCCCTCGTTTCTGCAAACGCAGGTTCTCCAGGATCTTTGAGAAGCGAGGATCCTGAATCAGACATAAAAGTTAGATAACAAGTAGCATGAATCGGACTGAAAGCTATTAAAATCCAGGCATATGGATTTCTCATGTTTTAGCCAAGTGATGAAGGGCAGGAGTTGAAATGGTAATTGCTGGTTTCGAGGTTTTAAGGAAAGGAAGATATGGTTTTTATAGAACAGTTCACATTCAGCACTCAAATCACTGCAGTATCTTTCCCCTATTTGTTAAACAGATTGTTCTGAGCAACCACCATTTTGAATGCCAGGTTGCCAACTTGACTTGGGCATCTTACTGGAGATTTTATCACATGACCTTCTGCCACCAATCAGCTGCCCCAGACACTCTCACTATTGGTCAGTTGATGTCCATGTCCATCCCCATCACACTGTCTCGGGGCCATACATGAAGGAGATAGACTCTTCTGTCCCAATCTAAACAAGGAGCTAACTTACATCTCCATCATAACCTTCAATTTTTTTTAAGTTGACCCATTTACACATTTTGACACATGTATGGGGCCGGTGGGATTTGAATTTGACCTTCTGGCCCAGAGGGACAGACACTAGCACTGTGCAACAAGAACCTGTATCTTTCCATTTCAGGACCAAAGGGAGATCATTCACACCAGGACCCAGTGCCATGAATGAGCCACTTTACGAAAGGACTCTGGTTATTTTAGTTAAGGCTGTGCTGTCCACTGGGAACTGCATAGAGATGGTGAATTCCCCTGTACTCCAAATAAACCCACATTACCTCAGGCCACAGCTGGTATTTACTTCCTGATTGAGGTTGGTAATTTGTTGCAAAATGAAGGGGATGAGTGAATGGCAGTGATCTGATAGGACCTGCACAGTCACCAGGATATTGAGAGGTTTTATTTTCCTCTTTGGATCTGCTCATTACAGCAAGACGTATGACTTTAGTTTCAAGACCTCATAAGTCCTAGAGACACAGTAAGGCTCTCTCTACATTGTCCCTACCAAATTCTCCCAGGATAGGGACAGCATGGGGTAGGATACGCAGTAAAGTTCCTTCTGCATTGTCCACTTCAATGAGCCCAGCCCTTAACCCCTGTAGAACCTCCTATAATATCTTTGATGTCATTACTGTTTTCTAAACCAGTCAACCTGTGGACTTTTCAAGTCACATTCTGTTTAATCCTGTTCCATTTTAAAACAGTCTGTTTTGATTCTTGTGAGCAGGAATCGCTGATGGAATCTCTGCCCCCTAATTTGTCACTTAATTTCACAAGGAGTTCATTTACGGATCTAAAGGAGAGAGGCCCACTCTATTCCCTTTCCTTTCACTGATATTCTCAGCATTTTAAGTGTTGTTTTAGAATGTTTTGCACTCTGGGATGAATTGATTGCAGAATCATGTATAATGGAGAGTAAATGATGTCCATTAGAGTCCAGTACGCAACATAGTCAAGCCTAGTTGGAAAATGAGATTGAAATGGTACCTTGCTGAGCATGGGTAGTTTGATGTGTACCCCAGCTCGGAGTCCAGTGCCCAGGTTTGATGGGCATGTCAAGACGTAGCCAAGTCTCTCATTCCACATAAACTCCCAGCCTTTCTCAGCGATCAGTTTCTCAACCTGAAAAAAAACATTTTTGTTTCAAATCTCAGATTTGTGTTCCATTTTCCTAAAGCCGGCAAGGATGAACGTACAATACGAAAACATGACATTTGATTCTGTGCTACAGTTTATTCTCCACACCAGCCTCCCTCAGCCCTCTTTCACATAACCCCGTCAAGATAACATTCTCCATTCCTTTTTCTTTTGTTTGTTCATGTAGTTTTCCCTAAATATAATCTATACTATTTACCTCAACTACTCCATGTGTTAGGGAATGCTCAACATTCTTATCACTCCCTGGATAAATGAGTTGACCTCTCCTAAAATGTAATAATGGTTACTATACCAAGAAGATGTCAGTTTCAGCTTTGCTCAGTGACATCCTCGCCTCTGGGAACAAGTTGTGGCTTAAATACCACATTGAAATGACAATATAGATGTAAGTCTCACACAATAATGAAGGAGTAAATTTTCAAAGGTGTGTTTGTCTTGATGTTTAGATAAATATCCCTTGGAATATAACATTGACCTGGAAGATATTAATTCCAATCATGTTGTAGTCTTAATGATTAGGAAACGTTTCTCTTGTTTTCTTACTCTAATTGTTGGACTATCTCCCTCATGAACCTTCATGTCAATTCAATATTGATGTCAGCCAATGGGTGACCTTACACAAGTGATTCCACTCACAGTAAGGTCTGCAGATGCTGGAAGCTAGAATCAATAAATGAGGAGCTAGAAAAACACAGCTGTTCAGACAGCATCCAAGGAGCAGGAAGGTCAATGTTTCGGGCCAAAACCCTTCATCAGGACAATACTTTACATTTATATTGTTTCTTTAACGTGTTAAAATATCTCATTAATTCATAGGATCATTAACACACAATAACAATTGGAAACCTACCCAAAGCAGCTAGGACAGGTGACCAACAGTATAGGTTTACAGGAGGAGAGAGTGAGCAACAGAGAGAGAGAATTCCAGAATGTAAGCTGTACGCAGCCAAAGGCCCAGATACCAATGCTGGTGCAAATAAACAGGCTGTGCATGAGGCCAGAACTGGAAGAGTGCAGATATCTTGGCTGCTGGTAGGGTTGGCAGTGACTCCAGAGCCAGGGAAAAGAAAACCATGGAGGATGAAAATCAAGATTTGGGAGCCTGTGTTGGTCCGGTATATAGAGGCAATGCACAAACAGGACTTGGGAATGGGAAGTAGGATTTCGGATGAGTTGTTTTGATGGACTGCGGATAATAGAAGCTGACCAAGTCTGTTTTGGAATTGTCAAGTCTGGAGATATCAAGGACATAAGTGAATTGTCAGTTTGTGAGTTTGCAGAAGAGGATTCAGTGCCTGTAGTACTGTAGTGCAGTGTGAGTCAGCACCATTTACATATAGGAGAATAAACTGAGTTACTCGGAGTGGTATTTGTGATACTGTTCATTAGGCAAGGATTGGTCATAATGATGAATTCATTATAAAAATCCAATGTAGACTGGTGCACTCACCCTTGAGATGTTTGGACATTCCCAGATACAGTGCAGTGTCTATTTTTATTGGTGTTGTCTAGCTGCATTTTCAAAACCCAGTGATGGTAAGGTTATTGTTGTGAAAAGCCTGGATTAAAGATGGATGTCACAGTAGGATTTGGTTTGATTTATTATTGTCACAGGTACCTAGCTACGGTGAAAAGTTTTGTTTTGCATGCAGTACAGGCAGATCATACCATACAAAGATCATAGCGTAATAGAACAAAGGGAGGAATACAATGTTACGGCTGCATAGAAGGTGCACAAAGAGCGATATCAATGTTAAATTTAAAATTTGAGAGGTCCGTTTAATAATAGTGGGGAAGAAACTGTTCTTGAACCT